CAATGAAATATCCTACTCTTATGAGAATAGTAAGTATATTTATACCATCTTTTCATTAAAAAGAAGATTTCTGAGGTCAGATAATTAAGTTCACAAACTCATTCTATAAAAAGTGCTACATACCTCATTGCTGAATATCACTACGGTCACCTGAGAAGTACTCTCTTTGGGAAACTATGCATGACCCCACACTAGCTCCACCCCTCAAAGCAATTTTGGAACTCTTTTTCTGGAATGGTCATCAGTGGTGTCATTGTCATGTCTGATAATTAAGTTCATGAACTCATCCTAGAGAAAGTGCTTTTAAGGGTGGACTAGGTGTTGGCATTGACTTCCAAAGGGGAATATTTTGAAGGTTTGTAGTGATATTCACAAATGAATCACATAGCACTTTCTCCAGGAAGAGTTTGTGAATTTAACTGTCCAACCTTCTAGATACAGTTAGTAAAAGTAATGAGGTATATGTGCTATTATGAAATGATCTCCACAATGTAATGCTAAGTGAAAAAAACAAGGCCAACAAAAACCATGTGAAACGTGGTTTGATTCTTCTTGTTAAAAAATGAGAATTTTATCTGTACATGTTGGCAACAATGTATGACTCCTCCTTGGTCTCCACCCCTGTCGTTGGGATGTAGGCATTTATGGGTATGAATTTTCCTCTCAAGACTGCTTTAACAGTATCCCACAAATTTTGATAACTTGTGCCTCCTCTATCATTTAGTTCAAAGAATCTTTTGATTTCCATCGATTTAACTATTATTCAGCAGTAAGTTGTTTAGTTTCCATTACTTTGTGTAGAAACAAATGTTTCTGTTAGAGTTGATTTCTAATTTTATTACACTGTGGTTTGAGAATATGCATGGTATAATTTCTATTTTTTTAAATTTGTTGAGACATTTTTTATGGCCTAGGATGTAGAGAATATTCCATGAGATGATGAGAAGAACACATATTCAGTGGCTTGTAGGTAGAATGTTCTATAAATACTTATTAGGAGTGCTGAAGTACATTGTTCTAGAGGGGTGCTGAAGTCCTTGGCTTTTACAGTACTGTTATTTACGGTTTTATTTAGATCAAGTGGTGTCTGCTTTATGAATCTCGGCCCAGTTGTGTTAGGTACATAAACATTTAGGATTATTATGTCTTCTTGTTGAATTGTTCCCTTTACTACCATATAATGACCATAATTATCTTTAATTTTATTGCTTTAAAGTCTATGTTATCTGATATAAGAACTGCTATAGCAATTTTCTTTGGTTTCCATTTGCATGGAATTTGTCTTCCGTCCCTTTATCTTGAGTCTGAATGATTCCTTATGGGTTAGATGTGTTTCCTGGAGACAACAGGAAACACATCTTGTATGTGTTTTTACACATACAAGGCTTGTATTTTTTTATCCATTCAGCCTATGTCTGTTGACTGGGGAGTTCAATCCATTTACATTTATTGAAAGAATTGGTTAAGTGGGGTGGGTTTCTGTTCTTGCTGTTGAGTAGAATTTTATTGCTCTGTTTTACCTCTTGAGCCAGTGTGATTCTGGGCTATGACCTTTAGCTTTTGGGGGGTTTTACAGTGGTGGGTGTATATTGCACTGATCCATGTATAGTGCAGGTCTGAGTACTTCCTGCAGGGCAGGTCTGGACTTGGCTAATTCCCTCAGCATTTGCTTGTCTGAAAATAAGACTTAATTTCTCCATCAAATGTGAAACTTAGTGTCATAGGACACAAAACTATGTTGGCAGTCGTTTTGTTTAAGAAGATGGTAGATGGAGACCCACTCCTTTCTGGCTTATAGGTTTCCACTGAGAAGTCTTTAGTGATCCTGCTGAATTTTCTCTTTCACTTTGACTTTGGCCAGGTTGAATCCATGTCTTGGATTGTCCCATTTGCTATGAGTCCTTCTGGAGTTTGATTACCATCTTTTATCTGGAAGTCTGGATCTCTGGCGATACAGAGTTTTCCACAATAATGCCCTTGAATAAATTTTCTATGCTTTAAGCACTTTCTTATTCTCCCTTAGGGATACATACAATTTGTATGTTTGTTCACTTTGCATAGTCCCATATCTAAGTGACTGCTCTGCCCTTGTTTTCTTTTCTCTCTTTAAATGACTGGGTTAGCTCAAGAGCCTTGTCTTCAAGCTCTGATATTCTTTCATCTCCTTGGTTTACCCTGTTCTGAAATTTTCTGGTGTTTTGAAAATTCCTGAATTGACTCTTTCATTTCTTTAAGTTCAATTATATCCTTCCTAATTTTGCCAAGGTCTTTAGTGACTTTTTCATTAATTGCCTAATACAGTTTTGGGCTTTTGTTGGTTTCTGGTTTTCTCTTCAATTTCATTGATCTTATTTGCTGTCTATATTCTGAATTCCATTTCTGTCATTTCAACAATTTCCTTCTAATTGGAGTTCACTGCTGTGTTGGGATCCCTTGGGAGTGTTGATCTGTTCTGATTTTTCATGCTGCCAGGGTTCTTTTGCTGGTTTCTTCTCATATGAAACCTCTTTTTTCAATTCTAAGTTAATAGGTTTGCAGAACTCTTGCTTCTTTTTGGGAACTCTCCTGGTAGTGTAGGATGTTCAAGCTGGAAGCTGGATGATACTCTTTTCACTGAGGCTGGTGTTATGGGGATTGCTCTAACTAGGGTCCTCCCCACAGAGGTTAACTATAGCAGCTGGGTAAGGTTGTCATGGATTCCTGGGTATGGGTATTTGCTGTGCTGGTGGCTTGAGGCTGGAGAGTCCCTGGTGGAGCGCTGAACTTTGGGGAAGCTCTTCTAGCCCTGCTTTGCTGGTGGAGGCTCTGGAGTGGGGTCTTGGGGTACAGGTGCAGGGCTGAAGACTTGGAAATAGTGTCAGGCCTAGCAGAAGTTCTGGTGGTCCAGGGGTGGGAGCCTCAGAACTGGGACTGGGGGCAAGCTTGTAAGCAGAATCTCTTAGCAGGGCCTCTGAGCCAAAAGTGAAGCTGTGCAGATGGTGGGTCAATTGGATGTGGAAGATAGGGTCAGGGCTGACCAGGTGGGGGGGGGGTAATTGGGGTCTGGAGGGCCAAATCAGGGCAAGCAAGTAGCAGGCTGCTCCACAGGCACCAGGGTCCCATGAGTGCCAAGTTAGGCATGCAGAGATCACAGTTCTCGTTGCCTCACCCAGGACCCACTGAAGCGGTTGCCGCAGGGCTCTCTGGTCAGAGCCTGCTGCTTCCTGGCATGGGAGCCTCAGAGCTGAGACTGGGGTAGAGCTAGAAGTAAAGTCCCTGGGAGCAAGGCAGGAGTTTATATTGACTAGACAGTATGAAGAGCTCATCTGCCATTTGTGGCAATGATAATGCAATTTATACGTACTTTCTAAATTAACAAATCCAACATGTACCAAAAATTTCTCATAAAATACTGATTAAGAAAATATCTAAGAAATCATTGTGATCTACTTTTTCTAACCCCCCCTGTGTCAGTTATCAATGCAGTGTCTCTTTCTTCTAAAGCTAGACTTCTTTACTCTGCTTTGTGACACTAGAATTAGACCTTAGACACATTTCTTCTTTGCCAGTAGGCACAGTATTAAGCTGTGTCAGTAAAAGGTGCTGAAGGGATATTGAAGTAGAAAGTGGCTTCTCTTCCTGGCCCTGGTATGCTTTGTCCTTCTTGCTTCTGCATCATGTGCCTGCCAGTGCTGTGTGGGACACCTAGAGGTGCTTTCCTCTATAACCTTTCAGTGGTACTCTACTCGGTAGTTTCCTATCAAGTTTTACTGATACCCCAGAAACCTCAGTAGCAACCTAGTAGGTGGCCTCCCAGCAAGTCTTACCAGCATTCTAGCAGGCAGTTTCCTGCTTATCAGTTTGGTTTGTGGCAGCTTGATGGACTTCTATGCCATCCCCTAGCCACAGCAACACCTGTCCAACAAGATATGAATCAGTCTAGTTCTGGAGAGGGGCCTTCTTCCAAGTAAAGTACTTTGCTTGAGCCCTAGAGATAGCAGCTATTCTCTATATTCTATTCCTATTTTTTAGAATTTCTTTATCCCTTAGTAGTTAATCTCCTTTTACCACTTAATAACTCCTTATGTTAAAATTTCCCTGTTCAAATTACTAGTGTGGTTTCTGGCTCCTGATTGGACCTTGACTGATTCACAAGCAAACCAAACCAACCCAATAATAACACAAGCCAAGCACAAACAATCAAATCCATAAACTCACCCTTAAAACATAATTTTATATTATTAGTTTGATAATAGAATGATACAGCATGGCATTTAGCCAAACTTGTTAACTTATTGTCTGAAGTGGACTGTGCATGCGTGTGAATGAGTCAGCTGCTATCACAGGTTTATTCTTCCTTCACATTTCAGAAAGATGTATCAAGCAAAATGCATTGTTCAGAGTGTGGTTATCTAATTCTTTAAAAGTCCATCATAGGAAAAGACAGAATAAGGAGAACTTGATAAATTTGTTTTCTATAAGAACTAAACTATTTCTAAAAGGCATGCAAAACAGAACTGTTATATGTGACAAAATTTTTAAAATCACTTTGAACATTCCAGAAAATTCTCAAAAGGTTAACAGAAATTGTCAGTAAAGTTAAACTCTAATTTCTACCTCAACTGATATCATTCATTCATTCCATAAATATTCAAAAAGTGGCACTGGGATAAGGCAGCAAAGAGGATAAACAGTATCTTAGCCTCATGGAATTTACTTTCTGTGGTAGGGAAAAAAACAAACATGTAAAAAATTAACACATAACATAATTTCAGACGTTTTAGAGAGCTATAAAGATAAATAGAGCAGGAATGTAATGGGTGTGGGTGCTACTTTAAGAGATGATTTAATGTTTTATATTAATTTCCTTCATATAGCATGTGATAACTGTCATATAAATATAAACACAGATGTGTCTTAGGGATACTAAGAGGATAGCACTCACATAGTTCCACAGTACATCAAACTGAATACATTCCTACAAATTCTCACAAGCTTATATACAGACCAATGAAACTTACCCTATAGAAAGCACTTGTCAAAGGGAGTAACGCAGCAGCAATGTTATATTCTTCTAAACTTGAACAATCCTAAAACAAAGACAAACGAGCATTATTAGGTTATTTATCAGAAATCATAAATATATGGAAATCAAAATCTGGGATCTATTATTTATTGTTCTGTGGGTTTTCACTTTTATTCCAAATTGTCAGTAAGGTGTAATTAGGTAACTTTGGGTGGGAAAAAAATCTGTTCCTGAAATATATTCTTTTAGAAATTAGATAAAGATACATTTAAGAAAGACACAATTTTTCATAAATTATTGGTGAGCAGTTACCTTTACTTTCTTGCTCTACAATGACTGTGTTAAAAGTTGTATAATTTACATTAAAAAATATTGGAAGGGGGTTTTAGTGTTTCTAACTATAGTATTGAATTGAGTCTAAAATACATTTTTTTCCCCACAACTTGACATCTCTGAGATTGGAATCATCTTATAGTTGATTGAAAGTATTTTTTAACTTTATTCAAATTAATATAATGGTACATTGTTCTTACTTCCAGGGTAAAGTTCCATTTGTAGAAGAGCCCCTTCACCCAGGGGGCGTGTTATACACCCTCACAATGTGCACCTTAGGTGAGATCCCGCCTCATGCCCTCCCTCCTTCTGTCATATGTCCGGATTGAAAGTCGTTTTTCTTTGTTAGTGTTACATAAAAAAGAAATCTTGTTATAGATCAGACAAAAAAAAAAAAAAAAACAGTGAGTGAAATATTGTTAGGGAATAGAATAGTCAGAAAATCTCAGTGAGAATGCAAAATGATGCGGCAACTGTGGAAAACAGTATGGCAGACACCCCCCAAAATTAAAAATAGAATGATTATATGCTCTAGCCATTCTACTTCCAGGTATATGCCCCAAAGAATTGAAAGCAAAGACTCAAACAGGTTTTGTACATACACGTTCATAGTGGCAGTACTCACAACAGTCAAAATGGAAGCAACCCAAGTGTCTGACAGAAAAATCAATCAAACAAAATGTAGTGTGTACACACACTCGCGTGCGCACAATGGAATATGAGTCAGCCTTTAAAAGAAAGTAAATTCTGACATATGCTATAACACAGATGAACCTCAAGGTCATTACATTTGGTAGATATTTGTATTAACTAGTCCTTCCTCTAGTAGGGGATACAATGTGAGCCATAGGGAGGCCAGGACTTGGAATAGTGTCCAAGAGCAGCCAAAGCTGCAACCAACCCTCTTTCTAGAGCAGTGGTTCTCAACTTTCCTGATGTCATGACCCTTTAATACAGTTCCTCATATTGTGGTGACCCCCAACCATAAAATTATTCTCATTGCTACTTCATAACTGTAATTTTGCTACTGTTATAAATCATATGAATTATATGAATTGATCCCTATGTGGGTTGTTTGACCCTCAAAGGGGATGTGACCTACAGGTTGAGAACCACTGTTCTAGAGGGTCAAGAACAGTGACTAACCACTGTGTCCCCACCCTCGGACAATGTGGCTATCTTTATCAAAATGCAAATTCCTCATGTTGATATGAACTGATTATAAACTCACAAGCTGAAATCTTAGATCTCAATTATGCCAGTGTAATTCCTCTACTTTCCAGATTAGAGAAAAGAAGGTTATACATCAGCCATAAAGACATGACTGGAATCTAGATTTATCTACCTATCATTGTGGTGTTTTTTTTCTATATACACTACTTTTGTACTTGATTGCTTTCCTTCTATTCTTAACGTAGGGACTATGATGCTTTTGAGCTTGTAGCACTAATTTTGGAGTGTGAGGGTAGGAAAACAGGTCTAAACCGAAGAGCAGTGAGAGGTACACTGGTAAAAAGGACAAGTGCTCTAGACAACGGGAGGAATAGTTAGGAGACAAAGTGGAAATACAACATAGACAACCACTGTCTATTTCCAGATACTGCCAGGGATGAGGAGAGTGTAGTAAGATTCTGAGAAAATAGGAATAAGCTTGGTATCATGTCTCATGGCCTAGAAGTCACCATTCATACTCTACAGCCAGTCTTGTATAGCATGAGTACATTTGGCACTGTGATCTGCTAAAAGAGTTTTCAGTTGAATTTCATTTATTGTCAGTTCTGAAAAACACAGTTCAGAATGCAATGAATGTTCAACTCCACTGAAACAATACTGGGTTATATAACACAAATTCCTGGAACAAAAAGTCATTCTCATATAAATAGAACATATCTTCTGATTCAATTTAAATAAATAACTAAAAGATAAGCTCAAGTTTCTTACACTAAAAATAATACTTTGAATTAACTCATCACACTGAGTAAATGTTTATTGGATAAATGAATACCCAAAGGAATAAATGTAAGAAGAGTAATGAGGAAAAGGAGCTAAGGACTGAAACTTGGGAAAGATACATATCCACACAGAGGAGAGTAAGGGAAAATCAAGATGGGAAGGGAGAATTAGGTGGCAGCAATATTACCGATGTCAAGAGACGAAGAAATGACCAATAATGTTATACACGTCAGGGAAATTTAGTAAAATGAAGATTAAGAAAAAGCCAAGAAACCAGTGAATATCACGAGATCATTGGTAACTTTTGACATGATGAGGGCGCGGATGAGTTGAGTAAAACAAATGAGCCCTGACTGTAAATGTTCATAGGAAATTAAAGTAATAAGATGCTCATTTATAGAATTTTTCTATCTCAATGGGTAGTTTGATGAATTTTGATAGTGCTAAACAGATGAATACTAAGATTTTATTTAATCCGTTGATTCTATGAGAATTAGAAGGGTCTCAATCATAGCAAAGGGGAAAATCCAACGGAGGAGAGAGAGGAAAAAGAAAGAGCCCAGCAGAATAGGTCCCTCAGCTATATCTGGTAGTCAATATGGTCCCCATTTCTTAGGTCAGTATTAGACCCTAGAAACATCTCATTTCCATAAAAAGCAAAAAAACAGAATTTATATTAAATAGCAGGATCCCTGAAGATAGCAGCAAATACCTGAAGAGAAAGAAGCCTGGCTCTGCTAGGAAGACTCAGTTTCTTTATGGGGAAAATCCTTAAACTGTCCAGCAAACTGTCCAAAATCCTACTAGATCTGTAGAGTAATTAATTGATAGCTGTTATTTGGGGGCGGGGGGGGGGGAATTGGAGAAGTGCTGAGTAAATAAATTTTTCTTCTACTTTCTAAACAAATTGCAGGACTTTTTAGGGTTTTTAACTGTAAGTCTATTAGAAGAATTTGGTAGGCAGCATTTCCAAACCCAATTTCACTAAGAAAAAGAAAGTGGTTATAGGACACATTTTGGAAAATAATAATTTAAGATCATCAAAAGTCTTCTGAGAGAATCCCAACCAAAAGACCATTTTAAAATTTATTCATTGATTTCTGTTTCTAGAATTTTGGTTATTTTCATATACTGATAGGTGCTTTTGCTGAAAAAAATTCAAAATGATAGATAAAATATTTTAAAATATTAATGCAGAGCAATAAATTGGCAAGAAAGCAAGGAGTACTCAGAGCAAAATATAACTGGTAACTTACAGAGATAAACAGAACACTAACGTTAAATTTTACCATAGGAAGAACTGGTGTGCAAACATGAGTATTGATTTTGAACTCAAGAGATAAGAGACAAAGTCTAGCACTGGAACTCCTAGGGCCACTTAGACCACCAGATATAAAGTATGAGATATCAAAAGACAACTGAGCAAAAACAGGAATAAATATGTGGGTAAATCTAAATATACATTGACTGTATAAAGCAATGACAATATTGTCTTATGGTAGTAAAGATAATTAAGATATATCTGAAATATACAACCATAGCAGCACAGACTTTGTAAAGGGGAGGACTGGAGTTGGATTTTGATAAATTAAGTAAGAACTCCAAAATTTCTGGATTATCACCAAAGGAACAGAAACAGCAGAATTTGTAACTTACAAACTAGTGAAGGAAAAACTCCCCAAACCTTAAACTAAATGAAAACAAAAAGGAAGAGGAAAAGAAACACAAAAAAGGGAAATAATCAGAAAAAAAAAACAAAATAAGATGACTGCAATAAATATAGGTACAATAATACAAATGGACCAAATATTTTTGGTAAAAGACAAAGACTGCCATTGAATCAAAAACAAAATCTAAATATTCATTGTTTAAAAACAACATATCTATACATTAAGGATATACAACATTTAGAGGATTAAAAAATAATTATCAGGCAATTACCAAAAGAAGTTGGGGTAGCTATATTATCAGACAAAATAATCTTTTAGGCAAAAAGCATTACTAGAGATAAAAAGAAGCACTATATAATGATAAATAGCTCAATCTATCAGAAAGACACAATGCTTTTAAATGTGTATAAACTTAATAACTTAGCTTTAAAATATACAAAGCAAAACTTGACAGATAAGAAGAAAAATAGATAACTTCATAATCATACTGTAAGATTTTAGTATGTTTCTCCTGGTGACTGATAGATCAAGCAGGTAAAACAATCAGTAATCCTATAGAAGATTTAAATAAATACTTTCAAAGTTAGAGCTGCTAGATGTATACAGAACACTGTAATACAAAACCAGCTTGTGGACACTGTAGCTTTAACAATGTAAATGCAATTGTTCACAAGGATTTAGAAAAGCTGACCTCATACTGGGCCATAAAATAAGGATGAGTAAGCTTCAAAATCTTTTTTTTTTTTTTTAATTGAGACAGAGTCTCACTTTGTTGCCCTCAGTAGAGTGCCAAGGCACCATAACTCACAGCAACCTCAAACTCTTGGGCTCAAATGACCCTCTTGTCTCAGCTTCCCAAGTAGCAGGGACTACAGGCACCTGCTAAACTTCAAGATCTTTTGAGTTATATAGATATAGCTGTCAGATGCAATTAAGTTAGAAATCGTTAATACATGTAAAGTACTTGAAATAGTACCTGACACATAGTAAGTACTCAGTAAGTGTTATTATCACTAAGGCTAGGAAATGCTTAGCATAGAATATTATATTGTAATTATTTATTTGTCTGTTTCCTTACTAAACTATGAATAACTTGACAGTATTTTTT